TAATATTTTTGTGGATCGACAAAATATTCAACGTGATGTATAAATGGTCGTTCTGTCGTTCCATTCATGCTACTCAAAATAATAGATTTTAATGGTGGAATCATAAATTGTAGCATTGATATAAATAAAAAACCTATTGAAAAATACAATATGCGTAAAAATTATAATAAGAAATTTTCTTAAACGGATAATCTCAAGGTAATATTAATTACCTGTGTACACAATAGTAAATTTTCTACCATATTTGGCATACTCTACCATTATTTCCTTTTCACCATCTGTAGTAAATAAAGAATAATCTGTTTGCATACGATTTAGAAGTATTTTCATCTGTAGTTAATAATTTCCATATTTAGATAAGTAAAGTAGATTTGTATATTTCAGTATCATAAATATTTAATAGAGATTTATATTTGTAAATATATAAAATCTCTTAAGACTGGTGTTACAAGCGAGAAGGGGTAATTTTACATGATTAATTACGTTGAATATGTGAAATGAAAATTATTCGTATAAAGCTTTGTATTAGAGAAAAATAAGTTTTAAAATTCGTCAAGCACGCAATTTTTATGTAGAATCACCTTCTGTTCGCTACTTAATTAAAACGTTCAGATAAATAATATTAACCAATCTACTCACAATTATTTCATTAGGTTACAAAAATTTGATAAAAAGTTTGTTTTATTAACAAGATAATAACATAAATGTTACATACCTTTTCTCCTTGAATTGCATTATTAACAAATTTGATTATTGCAAGGAAATCAGCAAAAAGTGGTGCCATGTTGTCTAGAATTTTATTTCTATGCCTAAATGAAGTTACGATAGCGCATATCTGGAGTAAAGAATACAAGAATGCATAAAAAACCAATTGAATTAAAGTATTTATTAAAAATAACGTTAGTTATTTTAAATTAAATCTATCTCTTCGATTTACGCTATATATTCTCTTGGCAATAATATAAAAAAGAAAGAAAAAACTAACACCTTAGCTATAATTTGGGTTCNCATGTACGAATGAATGATTATAAAATAGTAATATTTTTGTGGATCGACAAAATATTCAACGTGATGTATAAATGGTCGTTCTGTCGTTCCATTCAAGCTACTCAAAATAATAGATTTTAATGGTGGAATCATAAATTGTAGCATTGATATAAAAAAAAGACCTATTGAAAAATAAAATATGCGTAAACATTATAAAAAGAAATTCTCTTTAACGAATAATTTCAAACTAATATTAATTACCTATATACACAATAGTAAATTTTCTTCCATATTTGGCATACTCTACCATAATTTTCATTTCACCATCTATAGCGAATAAAGAATAATCTGTTTGCATACGATTTAGAAGTATTTTCATCTGTAGTTAATAATTTTCCTATTTAGATAAGTAAAGTAGATTTATATATTTCAATATCATAAATATATAATAAAGATTTATATTTGCGAATATGTAGCATCTCTTAAGACTGGTGTTACAAGCGAGAAGGGTTAATTCTTCATGATAAACTAGATTGAAATGAGAAATGATTGAAAATAAAAAATGTTAAATGAGAAATATTCGTATAAAGCTTTGTAATGGAGAAAAGTAGGATTTTAAAATTCTTCAAGGACGCATTATTAGTGTAAAATCACCACCTGTTCGCTACTTAATTAAAACGTTCAAATAAATTATATTAGCATATCTACTCACAATTATTTTATAAGTTACAAAAATGTGATTAAAAAATTGTTTTATTAACAAATTAATAATATCAATATTTCATACCTTTCTTCCTTGAATTGCATTATTAACAAATTTGATTATTGCAATAGAATCAGCAAAAAGTGGTGCCATGTCGTCTAGAATTATATTTCTATGCTTAAATGAAGTTACGATAGCGCATATCTAGAGTAAAGCATACAAGCATGTATAAAAAACCAATTGAATTAAAGTATTTATTAAAAATAACGTTAGTTATTTTCAATTAAATCTATCTCTTCGATTTACGCTATATATTCTCTTGGCAATAATATAAAAAAGAAAGAAAAAACTAACACCTTAG